AAAATGGAAGTAAATAGATCTAAGAAAAGAATGATCAAGTTAGAGACTTGATTACCAGAAAATGTAGCCAAAGAACTGTAGTTTATGGATCTACTCTCTTCCTCTTGAGTCTTCCAACTCCCTCTTCTTCTTCAAGCTTCAAGAACACAAAAGATTGCTTACAAATGGCTCACACACTCACAAGATGCTCTAGGGTTTCGTGGATTAGGGTTTGGGACATGGAGGCTGTAAATGAGGCCAAAGGGGTGGGGATTAAGATGCTTAAATAGGGTGCAAAACCCTGAAATTAGGGTTTTACTCTGCCAGGCCTACTCGCCGAGTCCAGACCTCTTGACTCGTCGAGTAGGTGGCTGAATCCCGCATCCAAGGCTAACTTCTACTCGACGAGTCTGGGGCTTCCAACTCGTCGAGTAGCCTTCCCAAACAAGAATAATTTGTAAATAAATTCGTACCAGAGTGCGGGCGTTACACAAACTGGTCAAAAAGTCAATGGTCAAAGTCAATTTGGATGACCCCATGTCGTGGCAATTAATTTGCCATGTCGTGGTCACGTCCAGACAAAACAGACGCAATAGGTCTCGTCACCACGCCATGGGCCTTCCTTGGACACGTCATGGTCTTCAGTTTGAAAAGATTTTCTGCAATAAGAGCTTAAACCATAAGGACCAAAGCCAAAATCACCAGATCTGATTCCTAATAGCTTCATAATGGATAAAGTTTCCAACTTTATCCATTAGGAATGTCCAAACCACCAAGATCTAGACTTTGAGTCTCAAGGGGACCTAAAAATGCATATTTCTCTACTTAATCCATTAAGTCCAAGTCTACAATATTCAGATATGAATCAACATTATGATTTGATGGATAAAGTTTCCAACTTTATCTATAATAATGTCTTAAACTTTCAATATCTAAACTTTAATACACCAAAATGACCTAAAGGACCAAGATAATTTGCATAGCTAAAAGGGTAGGCAAAAGATCATAACTTTCCTAGTCCATAAGGTCCAAGAAGCATTCTATACTGATCAAAAGATGTTGGAGTCCACTCAACTCCAAGATCACTCATAAAATGGACCAAAAGTGCCAAAAACCACAAAAGAATAGATCTAAAGAACTAAAGAGCAAGATTTGAACTTTATACTCACAATAGTTCATAAATGTAATGCCTTTGACGGATTCAAACTTGAAACATCATTCCTTGAAACCAAAATAACCTTCTTGATCTTTAACCTTCATCAAAATATCATAAAAAGCATCCAAAAAAAAGAGAGAGGAAAGGAGAGGAGCTAAAATCTTGAAGATGGAGGCTAGGGTTTCTCCCAAAGGATTTTAGATATGATGGAGGCTAAGAAAATACCCTAAAACTTGAATCATCACCTTTAAATACCTTGAAAACCCTAAAAAAATTATGGGCTTGGGATGCATAGTTTTCACCTCTTGACAACCTGCTTGTCACCTCACGACGACTCTCATGTTGTGACAACATTCCTGTCACCTCGTGACGATGGGTTTTCACCCAAATTCACTTCAACTTCGAACATGCATAACTTCTTCGTTTCAACTCGGTTTTCGGCAATATTTATATGCACGAAAAGGTATTGACGAGCCCCACAACCCTATCTAATTACTTTTGACTTAAAACATACCAAACTAAAATCATTAATTCACGCAAGAAGTCTAAAGCATCACTTTTCACATTCTACCATTGGCTCCAAAACATAAATCAAGGGCTTAGATCATACATTACATATTTCAGTTAAGACAAATGGTTATCCTATGCTTATTAGGCATGTGGAGAAGGGGGACACAACATCTTTCAGGTAAGACAAATAGTGTAGTAGCGTGGCTTTGAAAAGTTTGTTTCCAAAGTTGTTTGCTATTGAATCATCCAAAATCTACTACATTGCCAAAAAAATTGATTTATAGCACCTCATTTTTTTTAAAATGGTTTAGAGCTGGAAAAGAGATGGACGCTCTGGTGTCGAGTCAAAGGAGCTCACTGTTCTTTCCATTATTACAGGGAACAAACTCCTTTGGGCTTAATAATTATTGGAGTGGGTTGAACACTCTTCAGTCATGTTCTCAATTCGCTCCCTTAGAAACATTATGTTCGAGTCTGGGCCATATTTTACTCTAATAGTTTTGAATGTTCTAATTGCAGACTTATGAAAGTTTCCTGGGTCTCTTGGTGTATGTTGAATAATCGAACACCTCATTATACCAATGTGGATTTGTAGAGTCATTACACTGACCTCGTCTGCATGTCCTCTATGCAATTCTGATGAAAAATCCATCAACCACACTTTTCTGTGTGTTGCTTTGCATCAGATATCTCGTGTTGGAGGATATATGTATTAGGGTGATGGTGGAAAACCAAATTCCTTATGGATCGTGTATGTTCACTTTCTGAACTGATGTTTTCACCTTATGCATGGGTTACAAAAAATCCAATCTAGGATAATCCAAAATGACACTTGTGTATCTAGGCACAGAAACACAAGCCAAATCGCCAGAGAACTCTGAGTATTCGTTTTGAAGAAGAAGAGCTGAGAAAAGGGTTCTGTATACGACTCAAAAGAAGAGTCGTATATATACATGACATATTAGGGTTTTTTCTTCTAAATTAGTTAAGGAAATATTGAATTTAATGGCATAATCAATGATTTCCAAAACTGACAAAATTTATCAGTTTTACCATAATCACTCACTAGTATTCGGTTTTTCCATAATGAAACTAATTCAAATTTCCGAACCGTCAAGGGCTCTTCCCCTTGGACCCCACTAGGGGCGCTACCCCTAGGACCCTGCAAGGGGGCACAACCACGACCCCTTTGACCTCAGATTTTTGTAGTACTGACTTATAATTCGGTTTCATATATGCACGCACTCCGGATTCACCAAACATATAATATAGAGTACAAATAATAAACCCCTTAGCTTAAATGTGAGTTCCAATTACCCAAAATGTCTGATGACACTAAAATCAAAAACATATCGAATGGGCATTTTCTTGGTATAGGTTGGGCATTTTCTTGGTATAGGTTGGGCTTTTCAGCCTCATCTTCTGTTGAACAACTACTTCAGGCTCTTGTGTGGGCCTGACCTTATAAACAATCAAAGAAGAGTTCCTTGTTATTGTATATTTAGTTTTAGGATGATTTTGGAAAAAATAAACTCGATTTTGTAAAAATAATGTGGAGAGCTCTTCAATCAAAGAACATGCTCCTTGTATTTCCTCTAATATGTTGCTAGTCTTTTTTTAATGCTCGTTAATAGTATATTTCTATCGATTCTTAAAAAAACTCACTTCATTAATATCTCATTTTTTTTTCTTATTGAATACATTAAATACTAGAAGACCAGATTTTATTGACATCATGTGTTGTGACAAAGAAATACTTACAAAACCAACCTCACCACCACCAGCCATTAACTTCTACTTCTAACCTTAGTAACTCTCTCTCTCTCTCTCTCTCTCTCTCTCTCTCTCTCTCTCTCATATGGACAAATGTAGAAACTTTAGTTAATTGCAACGCCCCTATATTTTGACATATTGACAATTAAGGTAATAATAAATCCCTTGTATTTATTTGATCTTTACGTAACAAGATCATATCCATATTTTTTTTCTTTAACCTTTTCCCCTGTTATCATTTTATTATTAAAAAGATAATAAAAATACCGGATACAACATTTAAAGTTCTAACAACATATTTTGTACTTTTGACATTCCGAGACCAATTCAACCTCTTGGAGCCAAAAACATCTTTTTCCATTGTACAATTCTTCTAACATTTGTATCGTTTTTTTAGAAAACGACTAATAAATTTAAAGGAAGCCAACTTAAGTGATTGATGCATGGTTGTCTCCATTCCACATAAAAATGATTCTGAAATGAAAGAACATGCATAAACAATATTCTTTTTATGCAAATATTGTAACCATTTTATATATTTGTTAAATACATTCCATAAAAAATTACAATCTTTTCCTTTGGAATAAATTTCAATTAAAATTCGCTTAGTAATCATACCTATTACTATTATTACCAAAGATTGCTTATGATATAATCCACCGATTCGCGTATTTGTATTAATAAGGAAACCGTATTTGTAAGATATTATAAAAAGTCAACCACTTACAATTTATAATTTTCATAAGATGAAAAGGCAACAAATATACTTTTACAAATTACTATCAACGGAGCAAATAATTACAATACTTGTCATATATATTACTATAAAATGAAACATTATAAAAAGACAAACTAATTTTAATTGGTCTTGAAAAAGATTGAACAAGTCTTAAAACTTATTTTAATTATAATTTCTTATAAAACAAGTCTTTTTCTTATTAAATCACGACAAAAGAAAAACATAAATTTAACCAATAAACATCCAAAACGGCTTTTAAAATATGTTACTGTAACATATATTGATGGGTACAATTATTATTTATTCACTTTACAACAAATGAACAAACTCATAAATACAATACAATGGTCAAAAATATAATAAATGTAACAGATGGGAAGAAAACTAAAAAATTAAATATGGTATTTATACGGAAAGGACGGAGTAATTTAAAACCCCATTTAATTACTCCGCTACCGGACACCTCCGTCCTCCGCCGGCCTCCGGCCATCGCATTATTTAATCCCTTTTCAATCAATATAAATTCACATTCTTTGTTTAGAAGGAGACTCTCATTTTCTATACAGAAAGAAAGAGAGAGAGAATCGGTGGGTGTTGAGCTGTGATTTAGCTGTCTTCATTCCCCACCCTCCGTTCACACCTTCTCCGAATCCCCTAGAAAAACCTCCATTTTCTCTCTCATAATTCAAAACCCTCATTCATCTCCTTCTTCTTCTACTTCTTCTTCTTCTTCAATCGATAATCTTCACCCACATTTCGAGTTTCTTATAATCGATTGTTGCGTTTAGAGCGCAGGTTTGTTTACAACGATTTAGTTAAGCCTCAGATGTCTAAGGTGTTGATATGAAGAAGACTTCGATTATTGTTTATATTGTGCTGTTTGCATTTTTGTCTGGTTTTGGGTTTTGTTTTTCCGGTGATGGTTCCGGTGTCGGCGGCGGGTTAAGTTCTGGAAAGCTGACTGACGGTGAGGTGATTTACATACGTCAACGGCAGCTTTTGTCCTACCTGGATGAGTTCGGCGACAGAGGCGAGAATGTGAGCGTGGATCCGACGCTTGTGTTTGAAAACCCTAGGCTGAGAAATGCTTACATTGCTTTACAAGCATGGAAGCAGGCGATACTCTCAGATCCACAAAATCTCACTTTGAATTGGGTGGGTTCTAGTGTGTGCGACTACACGGGAGTGTTCTGTGCACCCGCACTGGATAACAGTTCGGAGAGAACCGTTGCCGGAATCGACCTTAACCACGGCGATATCGCCGGGTATTTGCCGGAGGAGCTTGGGTTGCTCAAGGATCTTGCATTGTTTCATATTAATTCGAATCGGTTCTGTGGAACTGTTCCGAAGAAGTTTCGTCAGTTGAAGTTACTCTTCGAATTGGATCTCAGCAACAACAGGTTCGCCGGAAAATTCCCTTACGTTGTTCTTAAATTACCGGCATTAAAGTTTTTGGATCTCCGGTTTAATGAGTTTGAAGGTAGTGTTCCTAAAGAATTGTTCGATAAAGACTTGGATGCTATATTTATTAATCACAACCGGTTTGTGTTTGAATTGCCGGATAATTTTGGCAATTCGCCGGTGTCTGTGATTGTTTTAGCGAACAATAGGTTTCATGGTTGTCTTCCGGCGAGCATCGGGAACATGTCGGATACTTTGAATGAGATTATCATGATGCACAATGGATTGAGGTCTTGTGTGCCGGAAGAAATTGGGTTGTTGAAGGAGGTGACGGTGTTTGATGTGAGCTTTAATCAGTTAATGGGGCCGTTGCCGGAGAGGCTTTCTGGTTTGGTGAGCGTGGAGCAGTTGAATGTGGCAAATAATTTCCTTACTGGAAGTATACCGAAGAGTATTTGTAGTCTTCCGAGGTTGGAGAATTTCACTTATTCTGATAATTTCTTCACCGGTGAGCCGCCGGAGTGTTTGAGGGTGGAGGAGTTTGATGATCAGAGGAATTGTTTGCCGGCGAGGCCGGCTCAAAGGTCTAAAAAGCAGTGTGATATGTTCGCGTCTAAGAAGATTCATTGTAGTGCATTTAGGTGTACGCCATTTGTTCCGGCGCTTCCACCGCCGCCTCCACCATCACCTCCACCCCCAGTTTACTCCCCTCCACCTCCACCATCACCTCCGCCCCCAGTATACTCTCCTCCGCCGCCAGTTTACTCTCCTCCTCCACCGCCACCCTCACCTCCGCCCCCTGTTTACTCTCCTCCACCACCGCCACCATCACCTCCACCGCCATCACCCCCTCCCCCACCTCCACCAGTTTACTCACCTCCTCCACCGCCACCGTCACCTCCGCCACCATCACCCCCTCCACCACCTCCACCAGTTTATTCTCCTCCCCCACCGCCACCTTCACCACCACCACCATCACCTCCTCCTCCACCACCACCAATTTACTCTCCTCCGCCACCTCCACCATCACCTCCGCCACCGGTTTACTCTCCTCCGCCACCTCCACCATCACCCCCACCGCCAGTTTACTCTCCTCCCCCACCTCCACCGTCACCACCGGCACCAGTTTACTGTCCTCCACCACCTCCAACCTATTGTGTACGATCACCACCACCTCCTCCACCTCCAACTGCATCCCCGCCTCCGCCTCCCTTGTTTTCCCCACCACCACCTGTTCCATATTACTACAGCTCACCTCCTCCGCCTCATTCACCGCCCCCATATATCTATAGCTCACCGCCTCCACCACACTCTCCACCACCACCTCCACCTCACTCACCGCCTCCACCACCCCCATCTTATATCTACTCATCACCACCACCACCACCACCTGTAGCCCATTCTCCACCTCCCCCAGTCCATTCTCCGCCTCCCCCAGTCCATTCTCCACCACCACCACCACCATCACCACCTCCTCCACCTCCTTGTATAGAACTCCCTCCACCTCCCTGTATAGAACCACCACCACCACCATCCCCAACCCCATCACCTCCACCCCCACCACCACATAAATCACCACCACCACCAGCACCTGTTTACAGTTCTCCACCACCCCCAGTCCACCACCCATCCCCACCTCCACCACCGATTATATACAACAGCCCACCACCTCCAGCTCCTGCATACGAGGGGCCATTACCTCCGGTTATTGGCGTTTCTTACGCCTCTCCTCCACCACCACCCTTCTATTGATTCTTTGATGTATTCTGAAAACTCAAAACACCAACAACAACAATAATACACAACCATTTGCATCATCTATTCCTCGAGCTTTTCCGAATTGATGACAGAAAACAGATAGAGAGAGAGAGCTGAAAAAAATAAAACAAATTTTATTTTAGGTTGCAGAAGCAGATCAAAGCATATCATTTCATATCCTCATCCTCATGTATAGAGAAACATCCATTGGCATTCTTTCTCCTTCTGATTCTGCCTGTGGGTTTCTAATTTTATTATTTTATTTAAATTTCATACTTTTTCTTTTTTATAAATGAAGAACATTTTTATTATCCATTTTCTCTTGTGTTTGTTTGTTTGTATAGCAAATTCTACTTCTAGTATGTATGTTGACGTTTTGTGCCCTTGACTTCCTTCTTAACCAAAATTAATTGGTATGTTTGTTTGTTTGTTTGTGGATCGTGTCTTCATGCATAAACGAAATTTATGAAGATGAGACACATCTTTTTTTACTTTCATTTGTGCTAACGTAGCTATTTTTGTATAAAACATATTAGAGTTAGCAAATTATACAAAACATATTAGAGTTAGCAAATCTGGCGGCCGTTTCGTGTTTTTGCCTGAATTACTTTTTTCTTTTTTAACCTGAACAAGACATGACGATGTGTTTATGTTTGTTAATACGAATACGACTCAATAAAAACATGACAAAAAAATAATAATAACCATTTGCATAATGTTATACGTATGTTTTTTGTGAAATCGATAATTTAAACACGACAAAAAATAACATAAAACAACATAAAATACTACTAAATATACACAACTTTTGAACATGAACACGGTGTTTCCTTTTATTATCATGTTATTAGCTTGACGGATTTTGAACATGAACACAAATTTGAAATTTGTTTATATTTCAATTTCATTTCATGTCTTGTATTTTTATCGTGTCATGACGACTTTTGCCACCGTTGAACTTATACATTCCTCACACACATACTTTTTTTATGCATATTTTTTCAAAGGGTCCTTTCGATTATAATGATTTCTTAAAGTAACAAATTTTGTTTTCCTTGTACACACTTAATCACTAAAGATTTTTTTATACAACCTTTTACAATTGAACTATTTATGTTGTTCAAAAAACATAATATTACTTGATTATTAGACCATCTCCGATCTATATCATTTTCACATTTTGATAGTATTTCATTTCAACCGATATCATTTTTTATATACTAATTTTTACATCAAAAAGTATATTTTCTAATATATATTTTTTCTTCAAACTTATTAGTGGATTCAAATTGATAAAAGTACTTAGACTATTAGGTATGGGCCCGTTGAGGTGGTGTTATAACACCTTATAACATGAAGTGGAGGGGGGGGGGTGTCCATGGTGGCATGGTGTTATAACACCGTACAGAGGAGAAAGATAAAGAAAGATAACTTCTACAGCCAATCAATGCTATCGTTTCAATATGTGGTAACGCCAACACCCTTTAACATAACATGAGGATGAGGCGGTGTTCATTGTGTTATAACACCGTTATGACATGCTACATAAGATCTCAACACCTTTTAACGGGCCCATACCCAATACTCTTAAAGTTTGGATATACTAACGCAAAAGTCTCTCTCTCTCTTTTATTATTATTATTATTATTATTATTATTATTATTTTTTGCAATTAAGACCAAAAAATCGGTAAACACTTGCAAAATAACTATTGTTCTCGGTTAATATCGGTTTTCAAGGCTAGAATTATAAATAAACAATCATATATAACTTTTTTTCCTTAATATGGTTAAAGTTTAAGGATTTAAAAAAAAATCTTTTTATATATACTAAAATTAATTTGAATAAAACCCATATTTATTAATTAAAGCACATAAAGATACCATATTTTTATTTATTAAAAAACACAATAATGATAATTTATATATCTTTTTTTTTTGTGATTTCTTCAATAAATATCATAACTATATATCATTTTTAGCATGTGTTTTTATAAGTATTATAACACTTATAACGTTTTTTTGCAACTATTTAACCGTGTTGACATTTAGGTTGTGTTGTAGAACAACTTGATTCAATTTGGTCACTTCTAAAAAATAGAAACTCGCTCTATTACCATTCTTTACACATAAGTCACTTCTTTTTTACACCCAACATATGAATATTGAACAATGAAAGTAGCAGGTGACCTAGAAACACACTCCATACGATAAATCAATATAGTCCTTTTAATTTATATATGATAATTACGGTTATTAAGATGTCATCTTTATCCTATACTATCTTTGTCCTATATTTATTGTTCATTTTTTACTTTTGAAGTTTTTTTTTCTTCAATTTTGACCTTAAATATTTTTGTTTTGATATATAATACTTGATGCAAAAAAATATATGAATGGATTGAGTTTTATATGTTTTTTCATTGTTATAATTTTCATCAAGTAATATATAACAGAATAAGGTCAAAGTTGAAAAATAAAGACTTCAAAAGTCAAAACTTGACAATAAATATGGTACGGACGGAGTATAATTTAAGAGGACTTTGTTGATTTGTCGTACGGATCACGTCTTTAGGCCACATGCTACCTTTATTGTTGAACTTTCACCTCTTGGGTGTAAAAAATGCAACTTAGGTGTAAAGAATCGAAATGGGGGGAGTTTACACATTTTTAGAAGAGACAAAATTAAATTCAAATTGTTCTACAATAGTTATAAAAACACATGCTAATTACAATTCATAGAACTTTTGTTGATTTGTCATAAGGAGCATATTTTCTAGGCCACATAGTGTGTATAATTGAACTCTACTAGGGAATAATAGCCTTCGGTAAGCCTTTATTTTTTGAGGTTCAGTTCATTTGTGAGAGGTTCTTCGGTAGATTGTAGTTTTATGGTAAAATTTTACACCCAAGGCTAGTGGGTGTGGTGTCACACTTGTTACGGTCCACGTAGGCGCCACGTCATTTTTGCCACACTTTAGCCAAAACTTGTCATTTGTATGACGTGGGTTGCCACACTTGCCATGTTAAATATATATATTTAATTAATTTAGAAAATAAATATTGCAAACATATTATTTTTTTAAAAAACTTAAATTCCATTAGAAACATAAAAATTCAAGAAAAAAAAACATAGAAATTAAAAAAAAAACATAGAAATTAAAAACATCACAAGACCACTAGAAATTCAGAAACATCACACTAGAAATTCAAACACACAACCCACTAGAACTTAGAAGACAAAGACTTCATATTTGACGTCATTTGGGGCTCTGCCTCACAATTTGTCAGAACTCAACAGGCTTGAAATCTTTTCCAGTTTTAACACGGTAAGGTTCAAGAGCATTCCCTAGCAAAGTATTTTCGTTTTCACCATTTCCGGCTTCATGCATCATACTACGAAACACAATGGTAAACCGAGTTGCGAGTGGATGTGCGTTTCTCCATTTAGCATAGAGTAGATATTTTCTTCGAGGTTGAAGGGTTTGACGACTGTATATGTCGGCGAATCTACTCCAAAAAGTAGTCGCAGGGTTGTCATTGTGGTGTGGATCTTCTGCTACATCAATCCATGAACGAGCGAGTAAGTCGACCAAATAATAGCCATTTTTAATGATGAGGTGTAGAAAAGGATGAAAAAAAAATAAGAAAGTTAAGAGAATAGAATTAAAGAGATTTGAATGGGATGAAGAATGAATAAGGATGAGAGTATTTATAGTTGAAGATTGAGGGTTTAAAATTTGAAATAAAAAAAAAACGGTTATATTTTTTAAATTGGGTATTTTTTTGGAAAGAAGGTAATTTTTGAAAAAGGGGTTTGAGTAATAAATGGGTAAAAAAAAAATACTATCTCTCTCATCGGTGAACCATCGCCGAGTTGCCGAGCCGAGCTCGGCATGCCTCGGCCTCGGCCCGGTGTTCGCCGAGGTCACCGAGTGCATTCCCGAGTCCACACCGAGCAGCCTAAAAGAATAATATAACACCAAATTTGATGTAATATTATCAAGGTTCTAAAAAACTAGCCATGGTGCGCCATGGTTCCGAGGCTTGTACCTACCGCAAAGTTTTAACAAAATGCCCATTAACTAATATATATATGTGTATAAAAATGAATAATAGTTGAAAATAGATATAAAAATATTAAGTATATATAAAATTGTCGCCTTAAAGTCATGCCTTACAAACGACGTGACTCGCCAAGGCTTGGAAAAACTTGAGGCTTGACATTGCCGTTAAGTCACGCCTTGAATATTATGCTAAAATGACGTAGAAATAAAATAAGCTTGAAGATGATTGTACACCTTTTTAATATAAAAAATAAATTTTTGCGAATCCACAAAAAATTTGGTGAAAGCTCAATCTTGAGAGTAGGGATGTTATTCGGGTTGGAACCGGACCGAACCGACCCAAACTCGAATAACCCGAAAACCGAATAAGGGTAATTGCATGAACCGAAAACCGGATCAAATAACCAATATAGGTTCGGTTCGATTCGGGTATTAATCGGTTCGGTTTGGTTATTACCCGAATAACGCAAATAACATGCACAAGATGATTAAGGACCTAATATAACCGAAAAGAACTGATTAAACCGTATTAGGATTCTATAACCTGAATAACCCCAAAAAAACCTAATATAGTTTTTCATGACTAGACAATATATTAATTCGTGAATCCTTAGAGACAAAGAAGGAATGATCGATTTGTGAATATAAAGAGGAAGGATCGACACTCAATTTCTGAATAAGAATGCTTGAGTAGGAAGTCGACTTCGGTAATACGATTGAGTAGGAAGTCGACTTGGGAATATGAAGCAATAGGGGTTGTTTCCTTGTATTGAATGTACGACTCGATCACAGAAGGAGGGACATGGAAAAACAAGATCGAATCGATTGAATGTAGGTCATTCGGTGTACCAAGAAAAATACGATTAAAAAAATGACTTTTCAATTTCGGGTCGAGTATTTAGAACCAAATAAACCCTTATTTGGGTAA